TAAGTAAAAATTACATTATGGCATTCTTTGACTTGGGTACACATCAAAAAAAAGTTCTTTTTATTCTTATTACAGAACGTGGAAAATTAATAATTTAAGCATTACTGGATATTCAATTTAATAATAATAACATTTTATATATGATTAAATTATAAAAAGTTAATACACATTAGTAATTTTATTATTATATACATATATTTGTAGAATTAATTATTTTTGGTATATTTACATAAATGATTGTACTGTGAAATATTTTTAAATTGAAAAATATTTGTTTTCCTATGTGTTGCACTTATTTATATTATATTTCTTAATTACTCTACAACATATATGAGAATTATTGAAAATAATTAAAAATAAATATTACGCTTCTTAATATCTTGTAAGTTACGCAATGGGAGTATAAATTTTTGTTTGGGCAATTACACTTACAATACTAGCTTAATAAGATCACCATAATATTATATTTACTTCTTTAAGTAGGAATGATTATAAAGGATTTTCTAATTTTCTTATTGTATATTTAAACAGAAAAGCAATTTATATCCTATTATTTATTATTGTAATAGCGTTGTCGTTCTCGAGAAGTAAATAAAGGAAATACATATATTAGTATATATAAAACTGTAATGGATTGTAGTTAAAACGAAACATTTTTTATTATATTTTTTCATATATATCATTAATAATTTGTTCAAAAAATAATATATTATGTTAAATTTTTACTAAAAAAAACTCACATTTTTTAAAATTATTATTTTAATAAAATTTGTAAGAAATAAAATATATTGATATATATTAAATTAAAAGCATAAAATGAAAAATAAGTGACAATTAAATACAAACATAACATAAAAAAATTATATTTGATAAATTATACACTTTTTTTTAATGTATCATAAAAAGGCTTTTCTAATATCCCATAATATTTAATATAATATTTTTTGCATAAAAATAGTATACCTTGTCGAAAAAACAACGTAATAAAAAATTATAATGCATGCGGCTTTACCTAAAAAAAAATGGTTACATGACAATATAAAGTAGTAATAGGAAAGAATCTACATTTCGTTTATAACAAAAATAAAAATTAAAATTATTGTCCAATCAGAATAAATCACGGTCACACAGAAAATATATACATAGGTACTGAAAAAAAGAATCGATAAAAAACTTAATACAAATGAGGAAAATACAACATATTGTTTTAATTCTAAATCAATATTTGTTTTTAATAGATATGGAATTATCATAATTTTATCATTTTAATGCTAAAATAACTTATTTTAAGTACTCATATTATAAATATTTCCTTTCATCTATAGATAAATTTGTACATTGAGTAGTGTATATAATAGACTCTGCAAAACTAGTTAGCTGTTTTCAAATATATTTTTATGGACAAGTACATTTATGTTACCCTTTTGTCAAGCTGTTTTATCATGATAATCAAAAAATTCCTAAATGTTTTTTTTTTAAAAATTCTTTCTAAAATTTGAATTATTAACATAGAAACATTAAGATAAACTATGAAGTTGCATTTTTTTTTATAAGTATTTTTGCAACCTGTAGTACATTTTGCTAATATATTTTTATTCCTTATTTATTTTTGCATAGGACGTTCTTCAATATTCTTAGGTATTTTTACATTATTAATATTTGAAATTTCCATATGACACATTGAAAAAATTTTCTCCATAATCGGGTATTTCTGATAAGATTGTCTGTAATTCTTTTTCAGTATATTTTTTTCTTCTCTTTTTTCTTCTTTTTTTTCTTATTATTTTTTTTCTATTGATAATGTTTCCAATGGGAGTGTACTGTGATTCAAGAAAAGGTAAATTTATAAATATTAAATTATACTATACGAGTATACATGTGAATCGTGGAAAAAATATAAAAGATTAATTTTACTTTAGTTAGGAGGGCAAGTAAAAGCATTGCTCCCACTATGATTGTAGCAGCCATGATGAATATACTTATGGGGTATTCTGCAGGTGTCATATTTTTTATATCTGATCCTGGATATTCTATAGTGAAAGTTCCGTCTCCTGAACTACCAACACTATTTAAACCTCTCTCATGACTTCTATCCGTATCTGCATCTTCTTCATCAGTGTTACCATCGGAGCATATATCTAAAGGTGTTACTCCACCATTTTGATTTTTACATATACTAGAAGACATTGTAAAAATAATAGATGGATTTTTATTCGTGTAGAACTAATCTTACATCATTATTTTCCCTTCTTGGCACTTCAATCTATCTGCCAGGGGGGGAATCTACTTCTTCATATATTAACGGTATAATATGAACTTTGACTTCAGGAAATTCTTAATTAATAGTTGATTCTGTATCACCAGAAACTTCAATTTCATGATCAATAACTCAATGAGGAAGCACAGGGATTTTCATATGTAAAGTTGTCTCTTTGTAGATTTCGGAATTATTATTCCTAAGATATTGTTTATATTCAAATCCAACTGTCCGTTTGGATTCCTGAAATTCTTAGTGTTCTGAAGGTTTTACATAACCGAATTTTTCATTTTATTCTCATATTTTTTGAACATTTTTTTTTATAGTCACCATTGCTACCCTTTGACTGGGTTTAAATACAGATGATCCTTCCTTTTTTTTTTCTCAAAATATTGCACTAAAAATGCTTACATGTAAATGTGTTATTGTCTTCTTGAACCCTATTACACTTTAATGACAATAAACTCTTTATTTTTGCCCCAATACTTGAAAATAAATGCATTAAATTATCTTCAAAACATAAACGTTTTTTTTTTTTTTTTCCAACATATTTTTTATTTTAATGCTTTTATTATGCTTAAGTTAAATTAATACAGAAATTGCATTACTGAATCATACATCAATACTGAAATATAAATCTAAATATGTAGATTTACAAATAGTTTCTTCTGGAGAAACATCAAAAGATACATGCAATATTTTTTATCAATTAATTTTAATTATATCATTTTTTCTATTTTTATTTTTGCAAAGAGTCTACATAAATAATTAATTAATATGTGCATAAAAACTGTAATGTTTTTATTCATATACTTCTGTTGCATAGAGTTGGGTCAGTGTAAGTTTCTAGCTATTATAAGTTGTTTTAAAAAAAATAGTTTTTACTCTTCAATAAAGTTTTTAAAACATGAACATACGAATCCTTTAAATTAATAATGTTTTTATGCGTATAATAATTTACATGGGTAAAAGTAAGATAAATGAACTCAACAACATGTATTTTAAAATTTTGTAAAATTTTGATGTACATAAAACATGTATATATAGAATAAGCAAATATATCCCAATGAATGTTTATATTTCATTGATAAAAAAAAGCCGTAATCCTTTATAAAAGTAAATAAATAAATTAAGACATCATAGTTTTAATTAGTAGCACTAATAAATATTGTACGTTTTGTAAATTATTATGTATATTTTATATTCTGGATAATTAGACAAATATTTATTATGATATATTTTTTTTGCATAAAAATTTTTTATTTTTCTTATTCACGTAGATATAATTTTTATAAGTAATGTTATTTAAAATAAATTAAAATTTTTCATATTTTTATTTATATTTAGCGCTTTACATAATTATCTTTATGTGTCACTTCTGTTACTATGGTGGTATATGTTTAATTTCATGGTTTTTTCTACGTTCACAAGTATCTAATTTATGAATCATTGGGAAATTCGTCTTAGAATTGCAAGAAATATTTGGGATTAAATGTTTTTTTTATTTGATACATAAAAATGGTATTTTGTTCTGTTGGTATATTAAATATTCCTATTTATTCTTGATATAAATACATGCTACTGAATAAGCAAAGGGTAGATACTTAATTATACGTGTGATTACGTGTGTGGCAACATACTTTCATATCTACTAATAATTAACTCTATTTTAAATATGCCTTAAATTTTAGAATAAAAACCCAGTTATATCTTAATTTGTATAAACTATAATTAGATTAAATAAATAGTAATATAATGAATTATTTTTTCAAGTATTAACTTATCCTTTACAAAAGAATTTGTATTTACAGTGCTAAAAAATACAAAACAAATGGACCCACACGATAAAAATGTAAAGGAATCATTTGCGTAATCTAAAAAATACGAAGAAAAAAAAAAAAAAAAAGCAATTTATGGTTTAAAAATAATATTATTTTAAAGATTTGTAAATTATTAGCTTGCAGTTAACCATTAAAATATTTGACGTTTTTTTTTTTTTTACACCTTTATTGTGAAAATTTTTTTTTAATATTATTAATAAGCGTTATCACTATTTTAAAATAAAAAATATAATTTGAAAAAATCATAATACTTTCATAGGATGCATTTTTTAAAAAATTATATATATTTACGGGAGTTTATTGTAAATACTAGGAGCATAGGTAATATAAATTTATATGTGTAAACATACTTTCTATTGGATCTAATTCATAAAAAAACAAATTAATAGTGTAATTAAACTATGAGGTATTTTACAGGACACATTATTTAGTAAAATGTAATAAAATATTATTGTCAAAAATATTATTTTTTTATAGAAAAATGTTAAAAACAAAATAAAATTCCCAACACACATTGCTCTAGTGTTTATGGAAAATAAGAATTAGCTTATTATTACGAATTATTAAAAAAAATATGGTTGTGTTCTGATAAATTAAAATGTTATAAAGTAATAAATAGTCGGACAATAGTACTTTCTGTGGGGATTCTAATATTCTTCCCTCTTTCAGTTAAATTTATTTAGAATCCAAAATTTCCAATTGCATTGATAATACAGCTTCAGTTTAATCAAAATAAAATATTGAAGAGGAGCTATTTCTAATGATTAGTTATTCACCATTCTAAATTAAAATGAAAAAATATACAGCTAACAGAATATGTGTTATTATTCATTAACGGCTTAATAGACACGATAAAAAAATAACTTGTGTTATAACATTTCTTCAAAATGCTTTAAATTAGGATGGCACTTTTAGAAGAAAATAAATGGGTATATTGAAGTTTTTAGAAAACACATTTATATATATATTATTAGTTTAATGTTCTATACACTTTTTAGAAAAGAAAATATTACTTCTCTAGAGGAAGCATGCATTTATATATATTATTAACTTTTTGTCCTTAACAGGATGAAAAATTACCAGATCTGCCTGCACATCAAAAGTATAAAGAATTGGATAAACCTAATATTTTGAACGATGGAATTACTTACTGCAATACCATGGAAAACAGTGATGATTGGGATAAATCATTTTGTAATAAAGTATCAAAACATTTAAAAGAATTATCTAGTGAAAAGGGGAGTAATCTCAAAGAAAAATGCTATTACTTCAGACACTGGTTTCATCATCATATAAGAAAAAAGTACTATAATGGGAATGACGTAAAAAATAAATCTATTAGTGGTAAACTCTTTGATTTAGTAGCATTGCTGATTAAAGATTATCCTAGTTTGGAACCATGTGGATGTTATGAGTCAGGTACACCAGAAATGTGGAAGGAGGAGAAAGATGTGCATGATTATTTCAAGAATTTTGAGTATATTAAAAGTAACAAATGCGATAAAAAGAGTTGTGAAACATATTTGAATTATATAAATTATATTAATACGATTTATAGAAGTATTTATGATAAGGATTATGGTTGCTGCTATTATGATACTATGGAAACCTATTGTGAACCATACTTTAGTTGTGATGAACAGTATGATCCGAATAATATTTTACTCGTTTTAAAGTCTACACACGAAAAATTAAAAACAGAGGAAGGTAAAGTATTAACTCCTATTAAAATTCCAAAAACTGAAGCACCTTTAGTTACTGATCATAAGGTTATCACACCGCCTCAGCATAAAGAAATTGCACAGGATGTTTCAATTATGCCATCTAATTTATCAGATGAAACTATTGATGTTTCCTCTAATGTTATATTGAGCGCCTATAATACAACAAATCAAAATTATTTACATAATTTTATTGTCGTTATTTCAATATTAGGAGCAATTACATTCTTATATTATTACCATAGTGTAAATATAAATTAAAATTAAATATGCAACTATGTTATGTTGATACTAATAAGCTATTTATAACAAACTCATGTTTACTAAAAATTAATCATTTTTCGTATTATATATATGTATATTTTTATTTATTAGTCTACTTCTCAAGGATCAACTGTACATAAAATGAGAATAAAGAAAAAGGAATTACCTAAAGGGCAAAATGAGATATTGAAAGATGAATCTCCATCACATGAATCAGTATACCAACTCTTAGATTACTACATAGGGAAGTCATATTTGGTATATCATCCTACAGAAAATTATTCTTATAGTTACGGTTTAATACGAAATGGCCTAGGTGAAATATATGAAGATAAATATTATTACATTTAAATGGACACTGAAGAGCAAAAAATTACAAATAATAATACGTAGATATCATAAAAGTCAAGGTCTAAATACGATATATTATAGAAGTAAATATTTATTGATATGAATAATTTGTGTACACATAACTACTATATGAAATTTCTATAAAATAAATGAAATGAGACTTGCCTTTTTATTTTAAAGGTTCACGTATTTTAAAAAGCATGAACAAGCATTATATGCCATATAAATTGTTAAAGAATCTAAAGATGCTCGCATTACATATGGAAAAAAATGAATGATATTGTACAAATTATATCAATAAAGTTATAGTTTAAGTGAATTACAGTAATGTTAGATTGTGTCAGTAATAATTTAGACAAGTATCATAATTATATAAGAGGGTGTTCTTATATACAGTGTATATTTGAAAAGTTAGGAAACAAAATGTAAACAAATATTGATGATCATGTTATGCGGATATAAATATGAAGTTGTAAATGTATGGAAATATATATTACAAATAGTAAAAATTATTTAAATTCAGATGTAACATATTAATAAAAATATTTATATATTTTTTTTATAACAGTTTACCCCACTTGGATCATATATACAACCGAGCGTCAAAAAGTTCAGGGAACTCTGGAATAATAAAAGCAACGAACATTACACGATAATGAATATTTTTGAAAGTCCATACATAGATTCAAGTGAATATAGGAGCAAAATAACCTATGCCCCAGTAGACTATTGAAAAATATTTTATAAGTATACAATATATAAAATAGTTTGTGTTAAGTAAATAATAAGTATATGTGACTGCATTCCTGTATTAATAAAGAAAACAGTTCTTTTAATATATATTAAAAATATGATGAAATTATATTTGAGACATAGATTTTAATGTTTATATATGTGATAACATAATACACTGTTTGTCATTATTTATTATGTATAAATTGTTCGAGCTTCCCATATTATTAATGTATAATATGTTTCTTTATAAATTAATATAATCTCTTATTAAAATAAATTTATTATAAAGAAACTTTATTATTGAAATATAATTATCTTATTTTTACATTATTTATTATATATATCTAAATTTCATATAAACATTTGATGTATATGTAATTAATGAAATTATCATCAATTTATAATTTTATTTTTTGATACATAATTATGAATATAAATATATAAGTTTTTTTTTATTTTATATATATAGTATTGATGTAACACAAATTTTATGTGAATTTAAAAATTGTATCACTCTTAATCCACTATTTACTAATATGAGCCGTGTAAAAACAGTAATATATTTTTCAATAGCCGTGTAATTTATGTAATGTAAAAGGCATATAATAATTATTAACATTTACAGGAAAATAATAATAGTATGCAATATAATAATATTGTACATTTGAATTCAGTAAAAGGAAATATATAGCTATAATTTATTTCTAATTTTATGTGCATTTAAAATTTTCATGTAAATGATTATATCTTTATGTATTAATTATAATAATAATGAGGTTATTAATATAATATATGATTATATTGAATATATATAACTAACAATTTAAATAAATATAATTTCCATATCAAATTTGTTTGTATCATAAATATTATGCGTATAATATTATTAACAATAAATATAAGTATTACATTTGGAGTATATAAGATTCACACAATAGCGAAAACTTGAGAAATGTATTTTTATATATCATTAAATTAGGATACAATTTTTTATGATAAAGACAAAGTGTGCAATATAATAAACATTTATATATGTACACGTACTAACAATTACATAAATTTTAGGTAATATAGTTATTTTAAAATTTATAATGTTATAATATAATTTTTTTTTCATACCAATAAATAGATTACATTTGTTTGGATTCCATAATTAAGATAGCATTTATATTTTTTTATTTTAATAGAGTTACGTTATTATTATGAAAATTATAAAAAGTTTTATTTAAAAAAAACTAATTATATTGGATATAATGTGTAATATAGATTTACGAAGAACGGTATGCTGCATTAAGTCTGTTTCTATGAGTATAGAATTCCTAAAATTTCATAGAATTTTCACTTAATCTTTGCTTTTCCGAATCTTTTTGTTTATTCAATAATGCTCCTTTAACTCTAAAAAATTTAAGAACCCATGTTCCAGAAGGTGTGAACTAATGAATAAATTGTATGTATAACATATTTATCATTAATTTATATTATTACTGTAATATAATAACTAAAAAAATTTAAGTAATTTATTTTATAAATTTATTTTATACTTACATTGTATAAAAGAGAATAAATAATGGATATACACGCTAAATGAAATAATATACTATTTAAATATTCCAAAATTGCATATCTAATGTAAAATTAGGAGTATATTGAAGCTTCTGATGTATGATCTGATTCACTTATTAAATGAGTGAATAATGGCTCATCAATTGCACTATTAGTTGAGATAATTTTTTCTTTTGGTTTTCCCCTTCAGGGAAAACTTTCTGATATAATTCAAAATAATAAGTTTTTGGATTCCATTTACTTCCTGTTTCTACTTCATTAAAGTTTCCACGGATAAATCAAGGTACTCTATATATTTTTTGAAACATAAATTGTTGTTATTATTAAGTACATCTTCTATAATTGCATAATCTTTAGTGTAATTGTGAATTATTTCCACTTTTTTAAATAATTTTACATAAAAAAAAAAAATTGCGTCGGAAGCAGTTACCTTTTGCACTATTTATAGATAACAGTGCATAACAGACATTTATAAGTGATTAAAGTTCCGATTCATGAGGCACCTTATCAATTATCATATCTCCTAGCCAGTAATAGAAATAATCATACAATTTATCATTAAAATTTTCAGAGGAAAAATGCAAATATAACTTATATCATTTTTAAGTATTTCTGAAATTCTATTAATATTATTGTAAATCTCTAAATTTGTACGTATATTCTCTCCACTTGCACCACAATAATAATGTGAAGCCGTGTCCAATATACTATAGTAAATGTGAGATGGAAATTTTGATAAATCATCTTTTTACAATTTAAAAATAAAAAATGTATTGCAAAATAAAAGTATATTTTACCAGTAAAAATTTATTTCATATATCTGTGTCCTACATAGGAGTCCAAAAAATATGTACGAATTACCTTAACTGACATACCTCTAAAATTCCTGACATTTCTATATTATGCTGAACAAAAAATTATGTGAAATAAAAACGTGTTAGTAAAAAATTTATCATACTTATTAACTAAGTATAATAATATATACAAAATACTATATTTTAATAATTTAAAATTCAAATAAATTTTTAAAAGAATTTAATCATGTTACAGGGGCCAACATCTGCTATTAATTTATGTATATATATTTATAATTCTCATATATGCCTTGAAAAAAAATATATATGATTATCTATTTTAATAAAATATATAAATAATTATATTTTTAATATACGAAAAAATATATAAAGAAAAATATAAATTAAATTATTATGTCTTTTTAAAAATAAATAATGTTATTTTTTCGGTATTATGTCTATATTGCACAGTTGGTACATATATAAGCTGAGTGCTATAAGTTATTCTAAATATAGAATACACTGCAACTCTTTTTATTTTTATAAATAATAAGATTATATAAATTTTTTTTTTGAACCATTTATCAGTTAGTATTTATGTATTTCTTTTACTTTAAATCATAATTTTTTTTATCTGTAAATGCTACATATATTTATCACATTTAGTGCATAGTATGTATTTTTTATCTCATTAACATTTTCTATTTTTTTTATAACACAAAAATATGTGTATTCTATTAGCATCTTATTCGCCTTTGTTATATTATAATTGGTTTTAATGAACATGTATTTATCAATATCATTTATGTGTATAATTAAGTTTTAATGATTAACTATATAAACAGTATTTTTTTAAATACAATTTTTAATGTACTATATTTGTGTAATTAAAATATTTACCTATTTTTACTATTTCCTTAGTGTAAATAATTTAAAATATATATGAAGATTAGAAAGGGAATTAATTTAATATATATATATATATAAGCAATAATTCTTAACATAAAACTTTTTAAGAAGTTATGGGATTATTTTTATTTATGCAAAGCTCAAAATTTTTAATAAATTATTATTTCTAATGATTTCATAAAAAAAGTAACAAAAAAAAAAAAAAAATTAAAACATAAGAATAGTTGCACATGAGGAAATGTATATATTTTTTTTTATCATGTGATTAAAGCTATAAAAATTATATATGACAAAATTCTATTATTATAATGAAAAAAAATTATTAAGGTGTGCTATTAAAACTTTGTTTAACATAATTTTTATATTTAATGGTATATATAGATTTATATATTACTTTTCTTATGTAATTTACCTAAAATTATTTTATTTGTTAAAGATTTTTGATTTCCATGTAATTCTTTTACTTTTGTAGCACAATTATTTATTATGCAATGGAAAATAGTATTTATTTTAAATAGTAATATACAATACATATATGGAATGGATAAAATGGGGTATTTTATGGATATCTTTACGATGGATCCTATGACATAATAGAATTATTGATGGAAATATCTAATATGCATATATATATACAAATGATTTTATTATTATATATACTACTTTTTTGCTATGTAATATGATAAACAAAAAAAAATGATAATAAAAATCTAAAAAAAAATTATTTTGAAATAAAAAAATGCCCCAAATGCACTTAATAATAAAAATAAATATATAAATACAAAAAATAGTATTTTTGAAAGATGGATACCATTTTTATCTCAATGCTTATGATTTTATTATAAAATACAACAACCAATAGTATCTAATATCCCTATCATTAGCTTATTTCCATGTAATTGTTTTCTAATTTTATGATTAAACTGTAGAGTAATTCATATGTTGGGACTATATATGGGTACACTTCTTCCTTTTTTATCTATATTTATAGATTCTAAAATATATACAAGTGCATTTTTAAAGTTCTACTTTGGAATTTATTTCTTATTTTAGTTTTTCATTTATATTTTCATATATATATAATGATAAAATTTATTTTATGCAAACTTAAAAAATAAAATATATAAATATAAGTTTTTAATCATCGAAAACATTTTAATAATATACTCCTATGAATTACTGTGAATATATATATGAGTAATGTGTTTTGAGATACCTTTAAATGAATCACTCTTTCAATTGTATTATGTATTTAATACGAAGAATTATAGACAAAACTGCAGCAATAATTTAGTTATCTTTAATTAAAATATAATCATATCGTAATAAATTATTTGTTGTTTATAAATTTATAACTTCTATACACACTTTGCTATCCCTTTATATATATTCTCGCCTTATGGATATGGCTTCTAAAAAAAGATCATTAGATTATTAATGGCGATGTCTATGTAATTTTCTAATATTATATTATAAAAATAATCCTTAAATTATTGTTTATAATATTTCTTTTTATGTATAATATTCATATATATATACGTAGCAAATGTGCACTTTAATAAGGATACTCTCTCGTTTTTATTAATACTGAAATATGTTTATATTATATTGATTTGTTCATGTGCTTATATTTTAATTTTATATTATTTAAAAAGTTTATCAAATATATAGATAATACCTTTAAAATTCCTATATTCAATATAAAATCATAATAAATATATAAATAAGCAGTCACTTTCACTATGATTCAAAAATATATAGTAGTGATATCAATTATTTATTACAAGATATGCTAAAGACATTTAAATAATTACATAAATGAAAAATTATTGTAAATTATTTAATGTATAATTTTAGAAAGTTCATATAAGAAAATATCAATTGTTTATTCTGGTATATAATGATTTCTTATTTTATATCCATTGAGTAATTTAATTTTTATTATATTATTGTAATATGTTTTAATTTTTTATTACGACAAAATGATTGCAGAGATTTATTTATATTTTTTTTTATATATTTACGGATATTTTTTTAGTGACCTATATAAATTATTAATACTTTTTTCAAAGTTGCAAATAAAAATCTTATATTTTCTCAAATGGCATTATTGTATTATGTATATTTATGTTTATTGAAATAGTGTTAACTTTAAAATAATACATATTACATAAGAATATTGTTAAATGTCTTATGAGTATAATATTCATTACATTACTTTCCTTGCATTGAAAATTTCAAAAATATATTTTAATTTTTCTTAAGTTCTTGATTATATGTTTTCATATAATGTAAAATTTATAAAAAATGATATACGTGGTAGTTTAAGTATTCATTACATTTTTACTAATATATATATTTATTTTTTTTTCATATTAAAGGGTTATTAATGTAATAAAAATTAAAATATTTCTGAATATTTTATTTTTTCAATGTCTGAATTAGAAATATTATTTATACTATAATAGATAATTTCATTTGAAATTACCTTGCAGTCAACTACATAATACTGCACTATTTTTTCAAAAGTAATGGTATACTAAATTTTAATTGACTAACACAAAAAAGACAAATATTTATTGTTATTATAAAATATATGTGCTGAGTTTTTAATTAAAAAATCAAATAATAATGTTCAAATATAGAAGAAAAAATTGTATTATATTCTATATCACATTAAAAAAAAAATAATAATATGCTAAATGCGATAAATATTAAAAGAAATTTTAATTGCAATACTAATGTACCCACTCATCAAAAGTATTTTGGTATATATAATTCTAAAAGGATTTCGTTTTATACTAAAATTATAAAAAAATTAATATAAATTTGTTCAAACTATTCTTGTACATTAGTTAAAAAATTGTACTACAAATAATGATATAAATATTTTTATAAAATTTAAAAATAGTATGTTGTTATTCCTTCAAAGGTTTAACAAAATAAAATTAAAATGTTAAACGTAAAATAGTCAATATTACATGTTATCGTTTTATTTATTTATTTAATACATGCGGGTCTTATAAATTTTTTAAAATTCTTATTGGGCATTGTGTTTAAGTTACAAATAGCTATATGCCAAATGAACACGTGTTTCTGTTGCAGGTGTACGATCTAATAGTACCTTCTGTAGTTTTTCATTCATGTGTTTTCGTTTCTTCCTTTTTTTCTTAGTAAAAAGCATCCCCAATGGTGTGAACTACAAAGAAAAGAAGTTTGTAAAAATACAGATTAGTTATTAAAAATAATTGAAAATAAGGGAGTAATACTAGTAATGCAACAAGTTTTAGTTTACCTTTACAAGAAGTGTCATTATCAAAATAATTGTCAAGGGAACTAAAATCATAATCATATAATTTTTATATGGTATTCCCTGTTCATCATCCGATCCATCTAGAACAATACCTTCTCCAGTGGTACCATTATGCTGTGTAGCACTATTTCTACTCAATTCACTTACTTTTTCTACTGTACTTGTTCCATAAGAACCATTTATAATAGGTGTACTTGCAACAACATTAGTGATTTGATTATGGGTACCAGAAGATATGGAAGAACTATAAGAGTTCTTCGACCCAGGTAGCAACCCTTCTTGTGTTGCATTACGAGATCCTCCAACTTGTGTAGTTTCTTTACCTAAAGATACATAAATAGTGGGCATATCACTAGAAGTTCCATGGTTCGAAACTGTTATACCAACATGGGTTCTGTCATTATATGTTATAGTCGTATATACACTACCAATATCCCTTTTACTAGCTCCTAATTCATTTGCGTTTCCTTGATGAGTGCTACATGGAACAGAACCTTCAACAATGTGTGCCCTTAAGGGATCTTCTTTGTGTTCAACTGTTGCACAATCACTGTTTCCTGTAACAACGTTGGAGGGAGAATGATATATTTTTTATCAATATGCCACGTACCAGATCAAAAAACAGGTAAATTACGCAAATAAGGGATATTATCTAAAGGATTTACATGTAATTCTTCACCTGAATCATGTAACTGTGTAGATATTCTTACTTGAGGACAGTTACTACCACGTGGTTCTCCTTTTAAAGAATTGTCTGAGACACATAAAGACTGTTCTGTTGATTTCATTTGTTCAGGTGCATTGGGATGACTATCTTCTGGTGATTCAGGTACTCTATCTTCATTTTCAGTAGAATCAGAAGTAGGTTTTACAACATGTTGGGACGATGAAACATCGTGTTGTTGGAGTTCTGTTTCTCTTAAAGACTTATTTGAAGTTTCATCTTGAGTTTTTCCTGTTTCTAATGCCACTGTTTCAGGTGTTTGGGGGAGAAATTCTGAATGTGCTAAAACATCTTCTTTTTTCGATTCTATTTGATTTTTGCTTACTTTACTGGGTTTTTCTGTTACTGAAGTTAATTCATCAGTTGATTCAACATGAGATAAGGCACTTCCAAAGCGTTCTGATTTTCTAGCACATCTTTCGTTACATTTTTTTATTTCGTCTTGGTATAAACCAATTAATATTCTTTCCTTATCACTGCATTCTTTTAAATCACGTTCTATATTATTTATGTATACACGGAACTCATCACATTTTTTGCATGAATGTGTATAATTATTTCCATCCAAATTTGGAAAAACTTTATCAAATTCTTTTACATATTTCGTAAATGTTTTATCGCACTGCTCATATTTATGGTTTTCGTTTTCAATGGTACTAATAGATACAGAAGCTATTCCCTGTTCACCATTACTATCTGTATCTGTCTGTACTTTTTCCCCCTTTGGATTCAAATAATCGGGAAAAAAATTATATAAATGCGTATGCATATTTGAACAAAGGTATATAGTATTTTAGTATAATGGCATTATATTGTCACATATATGTAACTATAAAAAATTATATACAGAAATGTGATAAATTAATGTGTTGTCTCATATCACTAGGACGTTGTGAAAGGGATTATAAAAAACATTTGATCTAATAACATTATCAATTATAATTGATTATAAGAACATGAGAAAAATAATGGAATACACAAATACATGTTTAAATTTTTTTTTAACATTCTTAACATTAAATTAATATATCATATGTCCCTGCATGAGAAAATGAGTTTTTCAGAAATTAAATGATAGTAAAGTATATATATATTTAAGGTTTATATACAGTGTAAACAAACTAATAAAGTAAAAGAATGTCAAAAATTTTTCATCTAGTGATAATAAAAAATGAAATAAGATATTTTCTGACAATTACACTTATATATGTGTGTACGTTCTTTTTATTTTAATAATAAAAGAACAAATAAATTTAATGTTGTTTATATTTTCCCTTACCACTCTTTCATTCTTCCGTTATGGTATAATATATTTCTCATACAGGTCCGTATGAGTACACAGAAGTGAAGTTTTATATTTTGGTGTTGTGTAACATTTTGAATGTTTAGATTTTTGTTTCATTATTATTGTACTAATACATTTTGAATATCATAGGGTTCCATATAAAGACAATAAATAAATAGTATATGAATTACAAATGTGTTTGCTTCATTATTGTAGAATGGATTTATTAATTAAATGTTAATTTAAAAGGTATAACAAATTACAGTACGCATAGCTTGATAATTATCTATTCATTTTTTTCTTACGTATATGCGTTAAAATTATTTTTCTATAAAGGTCTTTCCCATTATGTATATAATTACTTACAGCTCGTCAGTCTATTTTTTTTTTTCAAGTTTTTAGTTTTACTGGGGGTATATTTAGAGAGTTTTAATGTAAATCAAATCAAACAAAAAATTAAAATAATTAATAATCAATAAACAAATACTTAAATTTACAGTACAATTTTTTTTAAAATTGCTAATATATATTCCAAATTTTTTATACCATTGATACTAAAAAATATAAAATAAATACAACATATTTTTCTCACATAGAATTTCAGTAAAAAATACTATATAGAGAGTAATAATACACTATAAAAGTTCTTACTATATAATTAAATTATTTTAATAATATCCTTGGGACATTTAGATTTAATTAAATACATTCAAATGACTACTAATTTTTTATTCAGTAAGTGTTAACATATTGTTCTTTTCTTATAAACATGATAATTTAATAAATTTTTTTATTGCATATAATAAATTTTTTATATGTATATAATATAAGATCGATTTAAAGGGCGCACGAAACATATAAATATACAATGTATTTACAAAAAAAATTATTTTAAATTAATTATATTTGTAAATTTTTAATTCATTAAAACAGTTTATTATTTATTTTTTATATTCTCAATTGTATGTTACCGTTAACTACTCTTTTTTTTTAGTTTTGACTTCTATATATTCCATATTATTGGGATATTCATTAGGGATAACGTTGAAAAATAGTATTTCGAACTGTTTATTGAAAATAACATATTTTATAGTTTGAAAATAATATATTTAGCATTGTTTTTTATTGATATTTGATACATTAGATCTTATATCAGTATATTAATCTGGCTATCTTTCGTTGCATCTGTTGTTAATTACATTATTTCCCTTTCTTTTGTTATCTACATTTTGCATTGTGGGATATTTTTACATAAAATTTTCAAATGAAATTATTATTTTACTTTTAGCAGATTAAAAACACCGAAGCAGAATAACAAATCCTGAAATATATTGGTCTACTTTTTTCCCAATTGAATATACTTTATGTAGTTCACGATGTTTTCTTTCATATATACTCGTTTAATATTAAGTACGTAAATATACGCCTTTTATATTTGTTGCTCGTATGTTTTATATTTAAGGTGCCATGTTTTCTCCACAACCATAAAAATCAAATTATTCGGTTTTATATATGTCTATTTAAGAATTTCTATGCTTATAATATTATGTATACGTGCATATCTACTTTAAAATGTTACATTCTTTTTAGACATGAAATAAATTATAAATATTTCTGATTTCTGATTAATTAATAATGGACAATTGATCATTACTAATGCTACATATATGCATTTTAAATGATGAATGTTAATTATAAACACATTTATTATCCCTTATTAAGAGAAACAGACATTTCTCATACTCTTCCTAATTCAATTAAAGGCTGAACAATTCATATTAAAAATGTTTTTCATGTAATTCAATATAAAAAAATAATTTTATGAATATTGCTGTACTTTTCTAATTAGGATTAGTTATTTTAAAAGAATTTTCACAGAAAGTATGAAAAAAATATTCGTTTTCTCAAAATTTGACAATGCGAAATCTTATAATGTGTTATAATGTGAATGTTATGTTTAGAGAATACTCATATTTTGTAAAATGTGGATTAACGTTCTTCCTGATAATTATAATGAATATTTATCATTTCAATATTTTTTTGTTTCCCAACCAGCAAATTAATATAGGATGATAAAAAAAAGATCAAACAATTGGTGATATAATTAATACAAATGAATAAGTGAGCATATATGTACAAATGTTTTAAAAAAATACTTAGATAACATCCTGTGTCTGTGTCGTGTGATAATTTTTTGGTGTTCATAAGTAAAACATAAATTTGAATTAATTTTGCACATAAAGAATGTAATTTACATATAGCAACACTTTAATTATTTATTTACACTCATTTAAAGTGAAGAATATGGTATTTCATTTTCAATATGTATTAATAAAGGTGATATTTACTTCAAAACATGCTGTTAATTGCAAGCACATTTATACATCAATGATGTTGAAATATTTAAAGCGCTGTATCATTATTGCGTTGTATTGTTTAATAAACATACTGGTTCTGCGATTTGCATTTGAGCGGCATGTAAAAAAATAAATGCAGAAATTTATTATCATTTTAAGTATAATATATTTAGCGGTTTAATGATAACGTGAAAGATTAAATGAGATAAATGAATATCTGAAAAAAATATATTCAAGATTTGTTTTACAAAATCACAGTAAACTATGTGGCATTTTTTAATTACAGAAAACGCGAGATTTGTATATCATTGTGTTTTAGCAATTACATTTTTTTGAAAAAAAAAAAAAAAATTAGACTACAATCAGCTGTTTGCGTTTGCAAACGAAACAAAATATCGTTTCCTTTTATCAAATCTATATTTTTATTTTATTTTTGCAACGATTTGTCTAATGTATGTTATAAAATATTAAGCTTTAATAGTTTATTTATTTCATGCTAAAATAAAGTAATGCAATGTGCTTTTTTCTGATGTGCATAAATTTGAGAATATCGAGATTCCATGATTTATTATGAAATGCCACTGTATCGAATAACAGGGAGACGGAATTATTCATAACATTATGTGAAACACAGTTTGCTTTTCATAGAATATACTAAATTAAATTACTATATATTATTCTTATTAATTTTTATTATATACTTTGTTTTTTTGTTATTGCAAATTTTTAATTGTGCATATTTTTAAAAATGCAAAAAAGAGTTATGGGCCTTAGTAATTTGTAAAAAAGGGTTAATAAAATAATAAAAACAGCTATATCCACTTTTTAGTGTAGAATCAAAAACCATTTATATATTGAAAGTCTACTTTTCATTGTTATAATAATAATTTTCACTAGAAGATATTTTAATTGAAATACCTAATCCATTATAGTATGAACGAAATACTGTCCTTTTTGTGCGAGCACATGATTAATTCATTTTATTAAACATTATTAATACACCTTCACAACACTAGCAAATTGATTTTTTCCAAAACAATAAATTCCTTAGGGCATTAATGTACAATTTGAATTGTTCATTTCTTATTGTTATTAAAGTAAAAAAGAAATGTTTGTTTCTGATTAAAAAAAAATCATAAAATATAAGCTATTATTTTATTTTTTAGAATTAATCTGTACATATGAATAATAGATCAGTATGTTATTAGTTATTGTGTTCTACTTGTAAATATATACAGACTTATGAATATCATTATCTGATTTAGTTCAAGTATATTAAAATGTTCTTATCCTTCTAGAAAGAAATAGTTGCGTATGTTAACATTTTTATTGTAAAGATATCTCTTTAATTGAGCATTCTTTTTTTTTTTTTAAAATAATAAAATACTCTTTAATTAACGAGTACATATATAAAATGTCTTCCATTTTCTCCGGAATTAGAGGTGAAAGAAAAAAACTGTTGCCTGAACATGAACGTTTTAATAATATAAATAATGAATAATATTTAAAGGACGAAATGAGTTACTCTAATAAGTAAGGAAACTAATATTTTAGGGTTAAAATTTCTGCAAACATATATGGTCAACTTTTTTAAGTAGACTAAATAGAAGAAGATAGAATATACGAAAGAAATATTGCTATTATATTCAAGAGTGGTTCTTTGATTACTTAAATAAAATAACTCATATCTCGTAAAACTTGAGTAATATGGACATTGTTAATCAATTTAAGAAGTTTTGGATTTAGTGCCAACTTTTATTCACAGAGTAAGGATAAATCATCCTGCAAATTCTTCTTTTCTAGTGCATTCGGAGATCGATATTAGTAAATAGATTTATATTATTATTTTAACAATTACAATAACATTAAGTGAACCATTAAAAATATAGATAAATGTGAACAGTTTGTAAAATATATAAACTTATTATGGATGTGCATGGAATAAAAATTACATATGTTGTGATAAAGCATAATAATTCTATTTTTGTGCTGCTTATGTTAAATATGTTAGTTTAAAACCAAATGCATTGTTAAATAAATTAATAGAAAATTTGGGTATAGTAAACGTAAGAAGAGTTTGAGCAGAGATACAAATACCAAGATACATGGACCCGTTAAGAACTTCTTTTCACGTAAACAGAAGGATTAAATAATAAAATATGCTGCCTCACGTATATCCCTTACCACATATTATATCATGTATGACCATTATCCATGCACCTTTTACCATATAAACGAATAATAAGATAAAATAATGGGATAGTTGTCACCTTTTTATTGTATACTGTTGAAAATGAGTGCTATGTTATTCTTTTCCTCTTATTGTATAGTAAATAAGAGTTTAGTATGAACAGGTAAATATATTACATTATTATTCAAAATATATTTGTGTTAATATTTACAATTCTCAAATAATTACATTGCATATGATTTAAGCTTAATTTTTTTGCATGATTGTATACATCGTTTAAATCACCGTTTAAAAACATTTAGTTAACAATAATAAAGTCTAATATACACAATTATAATAAACTTCAATTTAAATGATCATGGTATTATTTAGAACCTTTATATATATATAATCAAATCAGGTAATTATGTTTGTTTTATTTTCTTTTCTGATTAAAATTTTTCTAATTATAACAGTTAACGAAAAAACGCTTATAATCACAACATCCAGAGTAGGTAGAGGATAGGTTTATATAAGTAATTACTTTAAATAAGGTATAAAAAAAAAGGAAATTTATTGATAGAAAAAATAAAAAGCATCAAAATAAATGTTATGAAATGAAATAACTAGA